GAACAAAACAAAATGAGGTGGCTTTTATATTTCTTCTTTTCACTTCTGTTAATCTTTCACCCTTAGAAGCTCTAGAGGTTATCTGAACACATAAAATATTTCATTTTCCAGGTTTATGTCTGGGTACTTATTCTGTATTCAGAAAGCAGAGATCTATGTCATAAGTCCCAAAAGTTTCATGTTCTATTAGCATTCTTTATTGTTATATAGGAAAAAATGTATTAATCTGTCCCATGATTTATCAAATTAATTGTGCCAGAGAGAGAAAAATTTTGGCTTTCTTTCCTTTTGTCAGCTTTAAGGTCTATTTTTTCCCACAGGATTAGTGGAAAAATACTTTTACACAATGAATATGAGGTAGTAAAACGATCCACCTTCTAAATCTCCCCCTGCATAAAGCTCAAACACTTTGCATAGCAATGTATTCCAAGGAGGAGAAATATTAGCATCTTTCTCTACGTGTTTATTATAGCACTATTTTATCAAGACCATAAAATCAAAGAAGCATACAAGCAGGCAACAGATGAAATGGCCTAAAATTTCAAAAAGAGAGGAAATAAACTAGAATGCAATAATCTAAGGAATAGGTGGTCATTAGATTTGATAGCTGAGAATATTATTCAGCACTGTGGATATAGATTCTTCTCATAATGCTAGCTTTAAAAAGCTGGTTAAAAATAAAATAATCCCTAATTCATCCAAAATATATAGAAAAAAACCTTAGAAAATTTACCATGTATATAATAATTACAATAATATAATAATTAGGTTCGAAATTTATAGTTGTTTCCCCCTATTTTCTATATATTCTATAATTTGTCATTATAATTGAAAAAAGCAAAAGAATCATAATATCTATTAACTAAAATGTAGAATAATGGGTTGGCAGTGCATTTCAGTGGCAGAGAGCATGTCTAGTATGTGTAAAGACCTGGGTCCAGTTGAGAGAGAGAGAAAAAGACCCAGAGAGATAGAGATAGAGAAATAGAAAAACAGGTTAGCACTTCCTAAACAGTCATTATTTATTATGGTAGCCCCCAGGGACAAAGTCTATTTATATTAAAGTTTTCCACTCACATTAGCCACATGCCAAAGTAGTCAATATTGTAACTATATGCAGCCAAGTAGCAAATTGAATTGGGTCAACAGATATATAACATTTCCTCATTGCAGAAAGTTACACTGAATAGACTTATTTGGCTCCTTTTTATCATGTCAAATAATTTGTGAACTGCCAGAATATGCTGAACAAAATGCTAAAGGTGTTTTGGACAACACTAAGCCGCCAGCCTGCCCTTATCTTCAAATTTTTCCACACTCCAGTCTACATGTCATTTTGTCTGATCACAGATACCCATAGTCAGTCCATCAATTGACAAGATTCAAGCCAAGGCCTCAAACCTCAAATTTGTTACCCAACAAATGAAAAAATTATGACACGGTCACCTGGCTTGATCTAGCAGCCTGGATTTCCCACCTAGCCACTGACAATGCTAGTCACAATAGCTCTTGTAGGCTACTTGGCATGGAGAAGCTCTTTTCAGGTAGTTGATGCCTGAGTATGTTGACTTGTCCTGTGATAACTTTGTCCAGGACAAAGGAAAAGTCAACTAATGCTGCCTGTTCTTAAAACTATGGATATCTGTACATGCTTGTTTCTTACAGCACTGTTCACAGTAGCCAGATTTATAGAATTAGTCTAGGTGTCTATCAACACACAAATGGAGTTTGGCTCAGTCATATAGAAGAATGAAATTTTGACATTTGCTGGAAAATAAATGGAACCAGAGACCATCATGTGAAGTGAAATAAATCAGACGCAGAAAGACAAATGTTTCGCATTTTCTCTTGTATACAAATTGGAGATTTAAAAACTACACATGCCTCCTAGCCTGCACTCCTATCTTCAGGCCTCTTGGGGTAAGTCTATAGCGCAGCCCTCCGCACCTTGACTCCCCAAGCCACATTCACCCTTCCACCTCCCCTGCTGTTCGCTACTCCTAGTTTGGGACCTGCGCCATCCCTAGACTTGGGGCCCCAGACACCGGGGGAACCAATACTGCTTCCTGACCCTTCTCACCCAGACCAACTTAGTGCCTTTCTTGGGCCCCAGGGGCACTGCTTCTGGACTTGGCCCGGCCCTCACCTCCCTCTACTTCCCTGGTCCTGCAACACCTGCCCGCCTCTTGCTGGGGCTGACAGCCTCTTTCTAGGGCTCCGAGGCGTACCTCTCTGCTCCCTGATCCTTTGCACACAGTACAACCCAGCAACTCAATCCACTCCCTGGGAAATCTTGGGGCTTCTTCCCACCCCATCTGCCTTTGCATCCCTGCATGGGGTGGCCACTGCCAGGGTCTCAGGTCAGTCCAACACCCAATTTCCTGAGGCCGAAATCATTCTTAGAAGATTCCAGACCTAAGGAGAAAGTCTGAAAACTTCTGACCCACATTGGAATTGGGCCACCGTGGAACTCCTGA